GCCGGGGAGCTCCCCCCAGCTCTGCCCCTCTCCCCAAATCCCAGCTCCGAGCGGGATCCCGCGCCGAGATGCTCCGCAGGGAGAGCCAAATCGCCTCCCGGCTCAGAGGGCTGCCGCCCCGTGAGCTGGAGGTAAACATCCTGTTTGGAAACATATAGGATGKGTTCCAGATGTGGAAACATCCCTAAAGGAGAAGTTGAAGGTGCCCCACCCCTGGAAGTGTCCCAGGCCAGGTTGGACGGGGCTTGGAGCAACCTGGGATAGCGGAAGGTGGCAGAGCGGTGAAAAGAGACGCGTKCTAAGGTGCCTTCCAACCCAAACCGYTCCACGATTCCATTATGCTTTTTTCTTTCTTCCCCCTCCTCCTGTTTTTAGGGGGAAACGGATGGAAGGAGGTGCTGATCTCATGTCTGGATGCCATCCTGATGGCTCTCCAAGGAAAACTCATACCCCAAAGCTCCAGAGCTGGGGCCACAGTTCAACAAGGGGCAATAAACTAAGCATTCCCCCTAAAAAAACTCAACAGAACTTCCACAAATCCAGCAAAAGAGCTTCCCACATCATGGAATCACGGAATGCTTTGGACTGCAAGGGACTTTCAAGATCATCTTGTTCCACCCCCTACCGTGGGTAGRGWCACCTTCCACGATCCCAGGYGACTCCAAGCTCTGTCCAGCCTTGCCTTGGACACTTCCAGGGCTGGGGYATCCCTCACCACAGAGGAAYACACGTTTCCATTCKCTGTGTCCAGYTATTTTTTTCTTCTGGACAGGACTCCAAGACCAGCTCCAGAGASGGGGCTGTGCCACAGCAGCACCAGTAACACCAGTTGTGCTTGGATTATACTCCCCTGGGGCCCAGCAGCTCTCCAGGTCACGCTGAGCAGCCCAAAGAGGCAATCCCTGCCTTGACTTTGCCAGCCTGCAAACTTCCCATCAGGAATTAGGATTATGGCTTTTGATTTCCTCAACTGAAGCTTTGTTCCCAACCCATCAGCACAGCAATGCCAGGAATGGTAGGAAAAGATCAGCACTTGGGAATTGCCACCTTTGGAATGCCCTGCTGTCTCGGTTTGAAAACCTTTTCCCCCCTGAGCCTAAAATCTCGTGGAAACTCTGCTGTCCACARAGAGAAAACCWGCYSAGAGGAGGAAAATGCCTCCAGRAGTCCTCCTTCCCCTGGGTTTAGCAACTTCTTTTGTCTTTCTTAAGCACCCAGTCATTAGGCTAAAGACTCACCCACTGTTGTCTCTTAGCAACAAAAAATGGGGGRAAATTCCCCAAGAGGRAGAAYAAAAGCAGAAATCCTAACCTCCAACACCTGCTTACTTCCATGCCAGAAGGAGGATCGGGACGTGGACATGGGGAGCCCCTTGGAGATGGTCCTGCTGCAGCCATTTCTGGTGAAGCATCGCTCTGCAGGGGCTAAGAGGGTTTTGGGGCAAAGAGGAGAAGCCGAGGCCTCAAAATCCAATCCAAAACTCCCTGTAGGGAAAGCCACAGGAYGCCTCCAAAAGGAGAGATGAATACACTTATTTCAAGTGGAGAATCTCAAGCTGGAGGAAAAACACATTTTAATTGTCTGCTGAMGGCTTTGCATGCTTCTGTTGCCTCACACAATCCATAATTAAAGAGGAGAAATTATCTACAAGAGATTCTTTGCGGGAGAGATGGAAAATGAGTTTGTGCTCCGAGCATTTCGGGCGATTTCGGAAGATACGCACCCGCCGGAGCATCAAAGCTGGAACRAGTTTTGAGTGAATAGATTTATGATGAAACACATAATAAAAGACATACTTTACTTGTGAAGAGTGGCTCTGCAAAACTTCATTTAATTACTGTTCTTCAGAGGCAAAAAACTGTTTCTTCAGCCACAAGATCTGTGGACTCATCCAGTCCCTCCAGACCTTTAATGCCTCCCCTAATATTACCAAATCTCTGGTTAAATTTGGCTGAATGATGATGGCAGTGAACTGACACACAACTTGCACCATGTATTACTTTCCAAAGATAATAATTTTAAACAGTTAAATACCTGTGAGACGCTGGACACGGTGAAAAGACAATTTCCTAGGGGATCTCTCGGGCTCCCAGATGCTGAGATATCACTTTGTCACCCACACAGTGACACCAGCCCTACCTGTTGGTCTCACCTGCCTGAAATATTAAATGATGAACATGGATTTTTGTGTCATCTCTATCAATACACAGAAATATTTGCTCATTCCTTTTTCTTCCCAGTTCCTGCCATAAGGAGAGGATGGACAGTGAAGCTGCGAGGCAACTTCCCCTTGTCCTCTCCCTCCTGTCCTTCTTCTGTCCTCCTCTTTGCATCTTGGTTTTGCCTTCCCCAGCCTTTAACTCCATCCCACCCTTCTCCTTGACTTCAGGCTTAACCTTTCCTTCCCCTTTTCGAGTCCAAAGGGTGCCTTTCCCCCTCCTTGTGCACTATTGCATCTCATGCCCCCATTTCCTCCATGGATAAGGCACTCTGGAATCCTTTCTCATCTAAATCTTCCCTCTGCAGCCTTGAGATTTACCAGTGACACGGYTTTGGGGACTTTCCCATTTATTTGGTGACCTCTAGGCCTGAGGAGGAGCAGGGTTTGTTTGTTTTTTTTAATCTTTCCAGCTTCCAGAGAAGAAAGCTGACAACAGCTGCTGCTTTTCAAATCACAAATCAGGCTCCTTTCCCTCCAGGAGGCTCCAGCCTGGTCTTCATCAGGCAGTGCCCATTTCTGCCCATGAAGGCAAAACCTTCACAAAAGGCTGGAAGTATTTCTTAAAAGAAAAAACACACCCCAAACTCGCTTTATTTGATTAATTTTTGTGCATTTATGGGATGTTTRGSGYKGTTTGCCCAGCAAACCTCCTGGAGGGGAGGGCACCAGGGCTAATAAAATCCTAGCAATCTCCACCAATTACCTAAACTGGCTTTTCTGCACTTAAAATCATGAGTTGGGGAGCCAGGAGCTCGGGATCTACCGGGGCCAGAAGCCAGGGCTGTGTTTCCAGCCCTAGGTCACCACATTTCTTCTTCCAAGAGATGCAAATTTTCTGTTTGTCAATCCTGAAGGGTCTGAAACAGACGGCCCYGCTCTCGGGTTGCGCAACCCGGCCKATTTCTGGCAAGAAGCGGTCGAGATTGCGAAAAAAAATTTTTAAAAGTGAGAAGGGGAAGAAAGTGTTTTCCAGCTGTTAGGGTTTAAAAGCAGGTGGAAGGAGAAGCACTGGGAGGGATGGGTGAGCATCCCAGGCACAGGTAAAACGGGCAGGGGGGGCACCTGGGATTTCACCTGATTTTATTCATCCCCATGGCAGAGCCAGGCAAAGCTTGGCTGGGGCAGCATCCCCAACCCACCGTGCGGGAGCTGGGGCCTCGGCAGGCTCTCCAAAGGCAGCGATGGCAGCAGGAGCTGYGGGTGAGCGAGCATGACCTCATCCCTCAGCCACGCCGAGCTGCCCCGCGATCGGAGCGGGGAACAGCCGCTGGCGGAGCACGGGGAGGGAAAACCCTTCTGAGCATCATCCCCTCCCTCTCCACCCCAGCCCCCGGCCCTAAACCACCCCTTTCCCAAGATTTCGGCTCTTTCCGGGGGGGTTTTCYTGCTGGAAGAGGAGCAAGGAGAGTGGCGAAGATGCGCTCATGGAACGGAGGAGCGGGAGAAGGGCAAGCCCGGCTGCTGGAGCGGGGAGGGAGCTGACACACACRCACATCATCTGCTCTCCGGCTGCCCCGAGGCACCATCATTCCTGGCAGATCTCTCCCTAATCCCTACTTTAAGACCTCCAAAGATGGAGGGAGCTTCCACGAGCCCCCGGGAGATTTTTCTTTTTTTTTTTTTTTTTTTTTTTTTTTTTTGGCCATGTCTCGCTTTTCTCATCCTGGAAAGGTTTTCCTCCGGCTTAATCGGCGTATTTCTTGCAGCTGCTTACACCAAGGATGTTTTGTGTCGTTTACTTAGATTTTCCTGGCTTTCCTACAGCCCTTTTCTAATGCACACAGTCTCTAAATAAAAAAAAATGTTAAGAAATTGTGCCCTCCGAGCTCCTCTGACTTTCCCCCATTCAGGCTGGTGCTTTCCAARCCCTTGGTGCACCTGGAATAAAATCCAATTAGCTGACCTCCACAAAGGTCAAGGGTTACTATTCAAATTTCAATTTAAATTCTGGATTTTTCCTCCAGATTTGCACAAGCAGAGCCATCCCTTGGGTCCCCTGGGCACTCCTTGCACAAACTCAGGGCTGCAAGTTTGGCCTGGGGAAAAAAYGAATCCTGATAAATCCTGCCAGACTCTTCCTGCAAGCACCCCAAAGGTTCTGGATGCTGTCACAAAGCCAAGTACCACAGCAGCTGCTGGCAAAGTTCTGCCACAAGGCCCCAGMCACACTGAGATCAGCACAATGTTTGGAGGTGATGGAAAACCAAGGGGTTTGTATGGATTTGGCACCCGGGAACCCGACAACGCCGTGGATTTCTGGCAGCACCCAAACTCACAAGGCCTTTTTCCAGGACGAAAAGGTGACAGCTGGGTGTTCACAACAGGGAAACAGTTTCCCTGGATCCAGCCAGG